CAAGAGGCATTCCCTCCAGAGATCACCCCTCCTTCCTCCATCTTCTTCCTCCCGTCCATTTCATTCCTAGAAGGGGAGCTTGGGGAACACCCCACAGGAAGTCTGAGAGCAGAAAACGAATGGAAAGAGGGCAGAAAAGAATGGAAAGAGGACAGGAGAGCAGGTTTTGGTTCTCCTTAAGGACCGGAATCAGGGTGGAGTGGTGAGGAGAACTGGGGCCCAGAGGAAGGAGAGTGCCTGCTGAGGACCCTCCCAGTGCAGAGGCCTCACAGACCCAGGGATGCAGACAATAGAGCCCGAGAAAGACAGTGAGGTGCGGACGTCAGTGATGAGTCTGGGACCGACAGATGTGTCCATAGGGAAGAGGCAACTGGGACTTGAATTGAAGCCCTTTAACTCCCCACCCCCACCCCTGCTGAGATTCTGCTCCCAAGGTGATAGGAGAAAACGCCACAGAGAGATGGGGTCTCAGAGTCAGAGACATCACAGTTGCAGGAAGAAAGATGGAAAGTCAGAGGGCAGTGGGGATCTGGGGGGCTGGAGGCACCACCTGCCTCAGTCGGCCCTCTCTTTGTGCCCCAGGTCCGAAGTCCCAGAAGGACTCTGTCCCGGACTGGGCCATTGTGTTGGTCACTCCCACGTTGGTGGCAGCAATTATCAGCCTAATGTATGGTATCAAGAAGGTGAGCAATGCTGTGGTCCAAATGTGTGGGTCCCCTATGCCAGTGGGGTTGGGAACCTGGTGCCCTAGGACTCAGAGGAGAACAGGGCTTTGGGGAAGGGATGACAGCCTGCAGGGCTTGTTGTGGGGAGGGGGAAGGGAGCCCTGGTCTGAGTGGCCGAGAGAAACACTGGCTGGGCAGGGACGGGGTGTTGGGGCCACTGAAAGAGGCGGGGGAATGCTAGAAACTGACCGGGGCGCATGGAAGCACTCACTCAGCTCTAGGCAATGAAGGACCAGTTCTGTGGAGCCACCTTCACTCGGGTTTGAATCCCTGTTCAAGATACTTGAGCCCTCTGTGCTCCAGATTCTTCATTAAAAATAATACTTAAATCACACTGATTATGTGCTAGGTGCTGTACATATTTTAGTTCACAGCAACTCAGTGATATAGGAAATATGACTCCTCATTTTACAGATGAGCTAATTGAGTCCTGGAGAAAATGAGAATGAGGGCATCCATCTCAAAGTGTGGTTGGGAGGATCAAATAAGCTTATGCAAAGAGAGCACTAATGGTGCTTGGCATGTATTATAGTAAGTGCTCAATGTACAGCCTTATTTATTATTATGGATGTTTTTGCTCAAAGAGCAACGCTGAGTGCCTGGGCTGCCAAGGGGAAGCAGTGGTTCCCAGGGAGAGCTGTGCTGGGCAGCAGGTTCCCGGGCCCCTCGGTTAACCCATCGTACCCATCCCTCCTCTCACAGGCCTGCCAATTCCAGAGGGAGATTAATCTGGGGGGTGGCTGTGGCTTCGTGACCCCTGACAGCCGCTGTCACCACCAGAGGGGGGCCGCCGCCAGCCAGCGCTATTCTGTCAAATGAAAGGCGGGGCAGGGCAGCTAAGCGCCTACCGTTTGGCCTTCCTCCTTCCTCTCCCGCATCATCTCAGACTCCCCTATCCTTTTCACCCTAGCCGGGACCATTTCCTGCAGGTAGATTCCTGGGGTCACTGGCCTCCCAGGTCTCTTCCACCAAGAGCGTAAGGGGGAGTCCACTGTCAGTCACAAGATTCTGCTCTCTGTCCTGCCACCAGTGCTGTGGACTGTGGGAAGGTGCCTAACTTCTCTGAGGGCAGCTTTCTCACCTGTGGAAGGAAGGACCAGGGCTAGGTGGCCTGTAGGCACCTTCCAGCCCTCATGGAGCCTGGGTCTGGACGGCTGCAACCCCCAACCCTCACCCTTTCTTCCCAGTCCCATCCTCCTTCCCAACATCTGAGAAGCTCCTTAGCTGAGGACAGTCTGCTCCCAGCTCCCCTTCTCACCTCCCCCCATGGCTGGCCCCTCAGGCTGGCTCTTGAGCCCCCGAGTCCCCCCCGATTATCTCCCCTCAGGGCAGGTGCAGAACCCTCATCTGTGGTGTCCTCTCAGTATGCTCTGGGAGGGTGGCAAACACATTATTCTAAATAAAATGGTACTTCCTTCACTTGTCTACCAGATGCTGTGGGTTTGCCCAAGTGCATGGGCTTTTGTGTCGTGCAGGCCCAGAAGGGCCGAGTCTGGTCTCTGCTACCTACTATGGCAAGTCATTTCCTGATCTGAGGTTCATTTGTCCTCATCTATAAAGTGAGGGTGACAGGTGATAACTCATAGGTGAGTGCTTAGTACATTCTTCGGTACATAGAAATGCCCAAACATTGGTAGTTGGCGGGGTTGTTTTGTGACTGGCCTCTTAGCCTCCAGCTCAGACGAAATAGCATAGACTTACTGTAAGAGACTGTTTTGGGCCTCCACCCACCTCCCAGTTTCTCCAGCCCAGACCCTGCGTCCTTGGGGTGGAGTTGTAGCTAAGAGAGAAGGGAAGGGGCTATTCATTCACAAACACTGATTAATGCTTATTCTAAAGCAGAGATCCTCAGCTTCAGCACAACTGATGTCCTGGGCTGGATGATTCTTTTTTGCTGAGACTACTCCGGGCATTATCGGATGTTCCACAGCATCTCTGGCCTCCACCCCCTAGAAGCCAGGAACACCCCACTCCAAATTGTGATAAAAATGTCTCCAGAAGACAACAGATGCTGGAGAGGATGTGGAGAAATAGGAACACTTTTACACTGTTGGTGGGAGTATAAATTAGTTCAACCATTGTGGAAGACAGTGTGACGATTCCTCAAGGACCTACAAATAGAAATTCCATTTGACCATTACTGGGTATATAGCCAAAGGATTATAAATCGTTCTACTATAAGAACACATGCACACGAATGTTCATTGCAGCACTGTTTACAATAGCAAAGACCTGGAACCAACCCAAATGCCCATCGATGATAGCCTGGACAGGGAAAATGTGGCACATACACACCATGGAATATTATGCAGCCATCAAAAACAATGAGTTCGTGTCCTTTGTAGGGACATGGATGAACCTGGAAACCATCATTCTCAGCAAACTTACACAAGAACAGAAAATCAAACACCACATGTTCTCACTCATAGGCGGGTGTTGAACAATGAAAACATGGACACGGGGAGGGGAGCATCACATGCTGGGGTCTGTTGGGGAGAAAGAGGGGAGGGACAGCGGGGAGTGGGGAGTTGGGGAGAGACAGCATGGGGAGAAATGCCAGATATAGGTGAAGGAGAGGAAGGCAGCAAATCATGCTGCCATGTGTGTACCTATGCAACAATCTTGCATGTTCTTCACATGTACCCCAAAACCTAAAATGCAATTAAAAAAATAAAATAAAAAAATGTCTCCAGAAATTGCCAAACGTTCCTTGGTGGGGGCAAAATTGCTCCTCCCTGTACAGAACCACTCCTAGAGGCTTGGGTCCCTGGGAAAGGGTGGGGAAGGAGACCAGTAAAAGGGGACTATCAGTCACCCCTGAGTCCAGATGGAGTTGCAGATGACAGCCTGTCTCTGCCTCAGTTTCTCCGTCCTGTAGGACGTATTGCCTGGGAGGCAGGCTGCCCAGTTCTGAGTAGTCAGTCTTTGGCCTGACTCCATGGAGTCTCATTAATCTGCTGTTAATCACATTAATAAGCAGTTGGCCTCCTCTCCTCTTCCCACCTATTCCAGCCCTGCCCAGGGCTCAGGGACAAGTCATGCCAAGTAAGGAGAGGAACCCACGTGTCCAGTTCTCTAGTCCTCTCATGAGCCCAACTGCCCCAAGGGTCTGGCCTCCTGCCCTTAGGTCCTGGCCGTTGCTATGGCCTTTGCCTGTCCCACTTCCCTCAGAAAAGCCTCCTCCGGCCCTGGCTTCCACTCTGTCCAGGCAGGTAAACATTTATTGATTGCCTACTGTGTGCCAGATGCCGTCCCAGGCTCTGATGACACAGCAGGGATCCAAGGTGCTTACTTTCCATCCATGGAGACCCACAGTGGGCAGAGAGGGGTGATGACTTCTCTGTGTTAGAGACTCAGGGAGTCTGTCCCCCCCTACTCCTGCCCCTGGCACTGTCACTGGGGAGACAGATGAGTCTCTGAGCTAATGCTTGCTTTGGGCAGGAACTGAGGAAGGGAAGGGGGAGCTCTGGGTGCTCCTAAAAACGAGATGTTTGCATTTCTGTATGGAAGTGAATGAGGTGGGAGGGAAGGGGTAGAGTGAAGGTAGAAGCCCCTGTGCACCGAGTATCTCTTGGCCAAAGATCTTAGCCTCAGTCTTGCTGGGTGGCCTGACCTGTCTGTGTCCCTGGTGAGGGGTGTGACACCTGTCCCTGTGGGTCTGTGTCTTGTCTCTGTCACTACCTCTGCACTCTCCACATCTTGTTGTATGACCTCTGAACATCACGAAGCACCTGTCTCTGCAGCGAGGGTCATTCGAGGGCTTTCTCTCGCCTTTGCTCTTTCACCTGATCGTTGCAGACAGCTCCGCCCAAGGTGGAAAGAGTGACCATGTGTGAATAAGGGGTGTGGAAGCTGGGCTGACGCGGGAGAGGCAGGAGGGTGCGCGTGAAGCTGGACACAGATCAGAACATGAACCCCACCCCGTCCTGCCCCCAACCAGAGCTTAATCCTTCTAGAATCCAGCCATCTGCTCCCCACCTCCCCAGAGCCCTGGAGGCCACCGGAGGCCACCCCCACTTTCTTCCACTGGGGCTGGCTCAGGCGTCTGCCCCTTTCTGGTTCCTATGCCCTGCCCATCCCTTGGCAGGTACCTAGGTACCTGGCTCCATGACGCAGCAGCTGTGGTCTACTCTTATCAGGGCTCCCCTTCGGGTTGGGGCGGCTCCATTTGTTTAAGACTTAGTCCTGAGAAGCCCCAGCCCCCATGACGTCAAGATGGGCTCCATATAAGGTGAGAGGTCTGCAGCCCATGGTCCCCAAGCAGCCACTCAGCTCCGACATGGCCCAGCCGGTCCACAGCCTCTACTCAGCCTTTGGCCTCCAGTGCTGCCTCCTCTTCCTTCTGGCTGCTTGGGAGGCAGGTAAGATGCCGACAGAGGGTACGGATGACAGAAATGGCTTGCTTCCTAGTGTTCATAGGTTGGACAACAAACAGAAATGAGGGCACGGGGCTGCTGCAGACAGTTGTCTAGAGTGTTCACGGCTCAAGTTTGCTGGCTAAGGAGCATGTGGGAGACGAACTCCAGCTTGTGCTCTGATCTTTAAAACATGGCTCACAGGGCTGCACCCACCCAGAGGGGGTTTCTTCAAGTTCGCATAAAGACACTGTAGAGGCTGGCAGCCTGGGTGGGTGGGGGTGGGCACCTGACATTCATTGAGCACCTGCTCCTGCTCAGTGCAAGGAATTCACAGCCGCTCATGGTGATTTCTTTTTTCTTTTTTTTGAGGTGGAGTCCACTCTATTGTCCATGCTGGAGTATAGTGGTGCAATCTCAGCTCCCTGTAGCCTCTGTGTCCTGGGTTCAAGTGATTCTCCAGCCTCAGCTTTCCGAGTAACTGGGATTACAGGCACCCACCACCATACCTGGCTCCTTTTTTGTATTTTTAGTAGAGACAGAATTTTACCATGTTGTTCAGGCTGGTCTCAAATGCCTGGCCTCAAGTGATCCGCCTGCCTCGGCCTCCCAAAGCGCTGGGATTACAGGTGTGAGTCACCGAGCCTAGCGATTCATCTCATTTAATATCAGCATCCCCTGAGGTGGCCAATAATAACCCATCTTATAGTTGAGAAGGGTGGACTCAAGTGATTTTGCCCCAAATCTCACAGCTAGAGGGGGAGGTAAGCAGGGATTCCACCCACTGCCCCAGCCCTGGAGGGATGGGTGGAGGGTCTCCCCTGAGAGCCCTGTTTTGTACAGACCTAGTTTCCAGTCCTGTCTCTGACCCATTTGCCTAGTCTGGCCTTCCACACCATCTATAAAATAGGTCGGACACTGCTGCCTGGCTGTATCGATATCTGATGCCTACAGAGCATTTACATGGCACCAGGCACTTCATCCACGTTTACTCATTTAATCCACACGGCGACTCTGAACGGTGTGCGCCAAAGGCTCTGTCCCTGTCTTACAGTTGGGAAACATCTCAGGGCTTTGATGAGAAAATGAATATGGACAAGTTTCACGAACAAAACAGACCCTAAAGATAAGATGACATTGTGAATTTAGTTCACTTAAGAAACGGACTGAACGCAGGGAGCAGAGATGCTGAACACGGGGGCGGTGTGGAGGGCCTGGGTGACTTGGAGGAGGGTCTCCACAAGGCAGACGTACAACAGTGGATTCAGAGACACTCTCTATCCACTGGATAGTCATCCAAGGATAGAGCCATCCACAGTAACGGCGTTGATGATCTGGAACCAGGGCTGGGACAGTCGTGAGTCTGGAAGTCTCCTCTGAGCAGTACTGGGGCACGGCAGGCAGGCAGCACCTCCTCCTTCCAGTAGAGTGCACGGAGGGTGATAATAGAGGCAGTGACCCTTCCCTGAGCTCAGTCAGTTGCGGTTGGGGGCGGAGGCGGGGCAGGTGGGTGGTGAACAGCGGGGGCTGAGGAGTCTTTGAGCTGCCTCTGAGAGATCTCAGCAGTGTGTCCTGCCCGTGCCCCGAATCGTTGTCCGTCTCCCTTACCTTGAGGGTCTGGAGACAGAGGCACGAGAGCCGCCCTCCGCCTCTCGGCCCCATCTCTCCCGCCTTCCCTCTCCCTTCCCGTCGGGTGGATCGTCCACCTCCTGCTCTCTCCTTCTATCTCGCAATTTAGGGAAGAGGAACCTGCAGGGGGCGGAAGGGAATCCACCGCACACACAATCGCGCTGAGATTTGTTCCAGTGCAGACAATCTGAATTCCTGAGATTCCGAAGGGGCTATGTGGGCGTGGCCTTGGAGAGGAGATGGGCGTGGCTGGGCGGGATGGAGGAAGGGGTGGGGAGGACAAGAGGATCTGGCCTCTTTCATTCTGCAGATTCTAAAGAGCGAGTGGGGGACAGGTGGGGAGGGCTCGAGGCTGGGCCCGGGTTGTGATGAAGTCGGTGGAACTGGAGTGTGAATCAGGGCTGGTGCATGGCTGTGCCCAGCAGAGAGAGAGGCCAGGGCAGGAAGGGAAGAGGGACAACTGGAATGGATGAAGCCCTTTAGTCCACCATTCTGGTTGGGGGGCCCTGACTTTTGTCCACAGGACCAGTCAATACCCAGACAGATAACTAGATCTTGGGACCCCAGAGTCTGCATCATGCAGTCACAGAACCACAGGTACAATGTAGCGTAAATCATCCAATCATCCGAGGGCAGCACAGCGGCCGTCCAGATTAAGTCATCACAGGGAGGCACAGGTGCAGTCCAGATGAAACCATCTGAGGGAGCACAGGTGCAGTGTAGACTAAATCATCTGAGGGAGCACAGGTGAGGCAGGAGATGGGAATTGGGGCTGGGGTCCTTGAAAGACTCTAATAAGAATGTTTTTCTATAACAAATGTTATTTGATTTAATTTCTATAACACAAATAATGTATGCTCATTGTAGAAACTGGAAAATAGAAAAAAATTAGAAAAATAAAATATATCTGTATACTCCCTAGTCCCCAGGCAATCATTTGATTATGTCTCCCTTTAGCTTTCCTTTTTTTTTGTAGACATAGGTTGCCCAGACTGGTCTCAGACTGGTGATCCTCCTGCCTCAGCCTCCCAAAGTGCTGGAATTATAGGTGTGAGCTACTGTGCCCACCAGCTTTTCTTTTTCTACGTCTGTGTTTTAAGCCACTTATTGAACTCATCCTGTATAGATATTTTAACAAGCATTTACCCATATTATTGCAAATGGAGCATGCCATTGATGGGGGTGAGGATACCAGGAAACATGAGAGATGCGCTTTCGGGAGAGTGTGCTCTGACAGAGACTCCAAGGCATGAAATGCTTAGCAAGATGTCCTCCCTTCCTTTCTCCCCCCGCCTCTCCTTCCTCCTTTCCTTCCTTCCTTTCTTTTTTTTTTAGACAGTCTCACTCTCCCAAAAGAGCATCTCTCACTGCAACCTCCGCCTCCGGGTTCAAGCAATTCTCCTGCCTCAGCCTATAAAGTAGCTGGGATTATAGGCTCCCATCACCACACTGGGCTAATTTTTGTATTTTTAGTAGGGACAGGGTTTCCCCATGTTGGCTAGACTGGTCTTGAAGTCCTGACCTCAAGTGATCTGGCCGCCTCTGCCTCCCAAAGTGCTGGGATTACAGGTGTGAGCCACCACGCCCAGCCAATGTCCTCCCACTCAAATGAGTGAACTAAGTGGATGGCGGGGATCTTTGGCATTGTACATTGTTTTGATGTTGTGGGATTTGTTTTTATCCTTTTATCTCAGCTGAGCATCCACTTGCAGTGTCTGGTGCTAAAGTTGGATTTTCTTCTCTACACCTCCTGCCTATACTTCAGTGACCGAAACAGTTCTTTTCAGGCTATGATGGTTCTATGTGGAGTGAGTATCTCCTGGTGAAAACTTCCTAGGGAAATAAGTCACTACCAAAGGTAGATTGCCTGGGGAAGAGATGCTCCTCTTGTCCTGAGGATTTACGCTGACTTGCCTTATGGCTGGGTCAGGACGAAGGAATCCCTCAAGCTTTACTTCAGCTTTTTACAATGTATGGTTCCACAATTGTTTGATACAGATCTAAAATTCTAAAATCTAGTTATCTGAGTCTAGTTATTGACTGTGATCCTGTGGTTTAATGACAACTGGTATCCAGGAATTGGTGAGCCAGAGGCCTTCTTTCAATATCTTTTCATTTCAGAGCTCAATTACTTAACTGCAGAAGTCACCCCTTGGTCTCCCAGCCTGTGGAGGTCACAGATACATTTGGTTTTTACTTAATGTGCATGATTACATGTTAATGGCAAGGCTTCTAAGGAGCTTTCATCAGTCTTTTTCTTTCATTCATTATTCAATAAATATTTACAAGGTGCCTCCTATGGACCAGACACTGTTCTAGGCTGGAGACAGTGATGAACAAAACAAATAAAAATCCATGCCAGGCCAGGCCAGGTGCCGTGGCTCATGCCTATAATCCTAATACTTTAGGAAGCAGAGGTGAGAGGATCACTGAGGACCAGAGTTTGAGGTCAGCCTGGCCAATATAGTGAGACACTGTGTCTAACAAAAGTTGATAAAACACAGCACTCATCACTTTCTGATGTGTGATAAATTCAGTTGGGATTATTTCAGAGACTACAACGTGGATTCAACAAACACTTAAAGAGCTTCTGTGCTCCAGAGTCTTTCAGCACCACACTTCCCTTAATCCGCATATTAAGCTGGTGCAGTCAGCATCATGGTTATTTACAGTTGAGGGCATGGAGCTTCCGAGCATTTAAATGACCTCAGCAAGGATGCAAAACTGCTGAGGGACCCAGCCTGGATGCCAAACCTGTCCTCTGATCCTTTAAGTCCTTTTCACTGCTGCCAGCTCATTTATTCACTCAATGGGTAGTCATTTGTCCCTTATCATGTTTAAAACCATCTGGGGCACAGTGAAAAGTCTAACTTCACCAATTGCTTAAGCTCTTTGCATCTCCTTTCCCCACCTGTAAACATAAGATCATAATCCTCCCTTCACAGGTTCATAATTATGTGATTAAATAAACAAACAGCACCTTTCAGGGAGTCCACACATGTCAGTGTCCTTCCTCTTCAAAAGACTGGGCTGACCCATAGGCTGTGCACTGTGGTCTCAAGCAGCAATGATCTGAGCCCAGGCGCCCAGGACACGTGTTCAGATTCTGTCTCAACAACTTCTTACTTGCTGGTTGTCCTTGAGAAGATTACTCAACCACTCTGAACCTTGTTTCTTCATCTATAAAGTTGGGAGAATAGGAAATAGTTCTCAACCTTAACAGGTTCTTATGAAAAGTAAACAAGTTAACGTATGCCCTCACTTGTAGAAACTGGCTGTCTCATAGAAGAGCTCCAGAAAGACTGACCATTGCTATTGTTGTGGGACTATGTACAGGTCACTTTTCCTCCATGAAGTGTAAATTTCTCAGATGTAAAATAGGAGAAGTTGACTGCTTCTAAAGAGCCTTGTGGAGCATTGGGAGATCAATTACCATAGAAGAGAATCCAGAAAGAGAATATTGTGAGGCCACCAGCCACATGCTGTGGCTGGGGAAGGTGTCCAGTAAACAATAGCTATTACTGGTATTGCTGCCAAGGAAATCAGGGAATGGGATTGGCACAGAGGAGTGAAGCCCTGATCATTCGGCCCCTTCTCTCCCCTCACTCTCAATTACTTTCAGATTCTGGGGCTTCTCTATTACCCTCACACCCTTCTTGTGCTGCCTGTATTTCAAGGACTGAGCTCCCCAAGCCCTGATTCTGCCCATCAGCAGGCAGGTGGACTGTGGTTTCTTGCGATTGGGAATAGGTCCAGGTTTTGGTTGCTGCCTTAAGCTAACAGAGTTATGTAATGACACTATCTCTTTCACTCTTTGGCGATCTCTTGGCCTTCACTCTTTTGGCTAGATATCAGAGATATCTCGTTTTTCTCCATCAGGTTGTTTTTCCATGGAATTAAGGCCTGTATCTGTCCACTGATAGGGGTGTTTTCTCTCACACCCTGTCCTTAAACATAGTCAGTCCCTCCCACAATCTAGTTGCCTCATTTACTCCTGTCAAGACCCCCAAGCAGAGATCTTTTCCTTTCAAGATGGCCCCCTTCATCTATCCCCAGATGGCTTTAAATGTGTGAAGAGGGGGACCCAGTGGGGTGACCATAGGGTTGGGTCATCTCATCCATTCTCCTCATCCAACTTTATCACTGAAATGAAAGTTTCCCATCTCCTTCCTCTACCCATTCTCCATTCTTCTTATACATCTCTCACTCACAACCTGTGTCTACCTTCCCTATGGGAAGTTCCGCCAGAGGTCTTACCTCAATTTCTCAAACTGTTACATTTGGGACATGGTGTCAGAGTGTTATGGAAAGGCGGAGAGTCTAATGTTTATTCTCAGACTTCTCAGCTCTGTCATGGAAAGGAGATTCCATTCTGTAAGTATACAGACCCTAAAGGGGCACCTGCACATTAAAATGCTGTCCACACATGCTCTCAAAACCTTACATTGGATAGGCATGGTGGGGTATGGAGGTTGGCAGGCATGCAAACAACTGTAATGTGAAGTTGAAGATCACAGGACAGAATGATGAATAAAGACCTTTTTAAGCACTGAAATGAAGCTGGGTTTTGTCTGCTTAGAGGATCAGAAAAGATGCCCTAAAGCCAAAAGTCCCTGAAATGTAGAGTTGAGGAGGTGTGGAGGATGTGGCATGCTTGTTGAAGGCACAGCCTGAGCCCAGAGGCTGGAGGTGAGAATGGGGAATAGATATCATAGTATTCAGAGGAGACTGGCTAGGGAGTCTTATCAGGGGGAACAAAGAGAAGGAGGTAGGCAGGGAGTTGGAGAAGAACATGGGGGAAGTTTCTTATTTGCCTCTCTCCCTCCACAGGTGCTACTGCACTCCAAGAATATCAGAAAACTGGTGAACTCTCAACATCTGATCATGTATTTCCCCTCACTCCAGGCCTTGTTTACAGTATCCCCTTCGATCACATTGTTCTGCATTCAGGACAAAGACCTCCAGACCTCCCTAAATCTATAGAAGTCCATGAACGAAAACGCCACTGCAACACCACACGCCATTCCAAGCCCACTGACAAGCCTATAGACAACTCCAAAACTACAGACCATAAAAGCTCTACAGATAATCATGAGGCTCCTCCCACTTCTGAAGAAAACTCCGGCAGTCAAGGGAAAGACCCAGTGATCCGGAACCAACGGTCTGTTGATTCTGCTGACTCCACTACCACACATAAAGAATCATCTGAAAAAAAACATATAACCCCAGCACCCAAGAGAAAAATAACTTGTCATAAGTCCTCAGCAGGCAAATCAACAGTAACAACAAAATCAGATAACTCTGGAAGACCTACTGCCTCATATAAGGCTACAACTTCCTTCCACAATTCAGATGATTCACAAACCAACCAAAAAAGCACGTCTTCTGAGAAAATCACAACAGGAACCCCAGAAGAGTCAGAAAAAAATGAAGATTACAGAACAACACTTGCCTCAGACAAGATCCTGATAAAAACTACAAAAAACATACAAGAGACTATATCAGCCAGTGAGAAGATCACACAATCTCTAGCAGACCCTACAGAACATGGAGAAAAGACAGCCAATGAGAAGACCACACCTTCCACAGCAGAACCTACAGAACATGGAGAAAGGACCCCACTAGCCAGTAAGAACACCACACCATCCCAAACAGAGCATACAGAACATGGAGAAAGGACGCCACAGGCCAATGAGAACACCACACCATCCCCAGCAGAGCATACAGGACACGAAGAAAAGGCCCCAGTTGTCAATGAGAACACCACACCATCCCTAGGAGAGCCTACAGAACATGGAGAAAGGACTCCAGTTGTCAATGAGAACACTAAACCATCCCTAGCAGAGCCTACAGAACACAGAGAAAGGACACCATCAGCCAATGAGAACACTACACCATCCCCAGTAGAGCATACAGAACATGGAGAAAGGACCCCACTGGTCAATGAGAACACCACACCATCCCCAGCAGAGCCTACAGAACATGGAGAAAGGACCCCACTGGCCAATAAGAACACCACATCATCCCCATTAGAGCATACAGAACACAGAGAAAGGACACCTGCAGCCATTGAGAACACCACACCATTCCCAGCAGAGCCTACAGAACATGGAGAAAGGACACCGTCGGCCAATGAGAACACCACACAATTCCCAGCAGAGCCTACAGAACACGAAGAAAGGACACCATCAGCCAATGAGAACACCACACCATACCCAGCAGAGCATACGGAACACAGAGAAAGGACACCGTGGGCCATTGAGAACACCACACCATACCCAGCAGAGCCTACAGAACATGGAGAAAGGACACCGTCGGCCAATGAGAACACCACACCATCCCCAGCAGAGCCAACAGAACATGGAGAAAGGATACCGTCGGCCAATGAGAACACCACACCATACCCAGCAGAGCATACGGAACACGGAGAAAGGACACCGTGGGCCATTGAGAACACCACACCATCCCCAGCAGAGCCAACAGAACATGGAGAAAGGACACTGTCGGCCAATGAGAACACCACACCATACCCAGCAGAGCATACGGAACATGGAGAAAGGACACCGTCGGCCAATGAGAACACCACACAATTCCCAGCAGAGCCTACAGAACACGAAGAAAGGACACCATCAGCCAGTGAGAACACCACACCATACCCAGTAGAGCATACGGAACACGGAGAAAGGACATCATTGGCCAAGGAGAACACCACACCATCCCCAGCAGAGCCTACAGAACATGGAGAAAGGACCACATCACCCAGTGACAAGATCACACCATCTGCAGCAGAGTCTACAGAACATACAGAAAGGACTGCATCAGCCAATGTGATCACACCAGCCCCAGCAGAGCCTATAGAACATGGAGAAAGGACCACATTGGCCCATGAGAAGAGGACACAAGTCACAATAAAGTCCACAGAACACTCAGAAAAGACCACATCAACCACAGAGAAAACCACAAAAGCCTCAGAAAAGCCTACACTATACCCAAAGAAGACCATATCCACCAAAGGGAAAAACATATCAGTCTCAGAAAAGCCTACAGAAAACCCAGGGAACACCACACTGGCCACTGAGACCACAAAAGCCCCAGTAAAGTCCACAGAAAACCTGGAAAAAACAGCAGCAGTCACAAAGACTATAAGACCTTCAGTCAAGGTCACAGGAGACAAATCTATCACTACTACCTCTTCTCATCTAAATAAAACTGAAGTTACTCATCAGGTGCCCATCAGTTCTTTTACACTCATCACATCTAGAATGAAGTTGAGTTCTATCATATCAGAAGTCCCAAGCAACGAGAGCTATCCATACCACAATAAAGATGGCTCACAGAAAGGTATCCACGCTGGACAGATAGGGGAGAATAATTCATTCCCTGCATGGGCCATAGTTATTGTGGTCCTGGTGGCTGTGATTCTCCTCCTGGTGTTCCTTGGCCTGATCTTCTTGGTAAGGGACGGATGAACCCCACGGAAATGAATCTATGGGATAGGGAATTGAGACATTAGGGGTCAGAGTTACAGGGAATAATGAGTCTAGGAAAAGAGACATGGCAGGAGTGGGGGAACAGTAATAGAGGGAGAATTCTGGTGAAAACTAAGGGGAAAGACAATAAATACACAGGAGATAAAAAGCTGGAATTGGGGAGAAGGCTGTGACTGAGAATGAAAGGGTGTGAAAGTGTGGGGGGTGGAAAGTCTGGGTATAAGGACAAGGAGAATATGGTAGAGAGGGGAACTAAAGATGGAGCTGGGACTCATTGTATTGGATCTGGAGCTGGAATAAACATTAAGGTTTGGATGGAATCTTGAGAATAGAATCAAAGACCTGAGGTGAGTGTTGAGAAAAACAAATCACAGATGGTTTTTATTCCTCCTTTCTCATCCCAATCACAGGTCTCCTATATGATGCGGACACGCCGCACACTAACCCAGAACACCCGGGACAATGACACAGAGGATGAGGGTGGCCCCAATTCCTACCCAGTCTACCTGATGGAGCAGCAGACACTTGGCACGGGCCAGATCCCTTCCCCACGGTGATCTTGGAGTAGGCATCGAGCCCCGGCTCTTCCATGCTCTGCCCCTTTCCTGGATGAGGAACTGGACTCACAATTTCTATTTCCTGGACTCTGGGAAGGGCAGAGAATACCGACGGTTAACAACAATAACCCTTCCTCTGTTCTTAATTGAAACTGGTTGGGGAATGAGGTGATAAGCAAGAAGGGTGTAAGTTTAGGGGATAGAGAAGAAAGAATGAACAATACAAGTAGATGTTCTTTGTAGAAGGCGATGGTCTGAGAATGAAAAGATGTTTGATGGACATGTTGGGTGGAGACCAATACAGAACCTGAGTCCTAAAGGAAGGACAGGAGCCTTAGAAGGCAATGCCCCAGACTGACTTGTGAGTGGGGATTATGGGGAAAGGGAGAGACTGAGGGTGGAGTCTCTGGGTTTCAGGACAGAATTTTGTTATTTCTATTCATTATTATTTAAGAGTTTGTGCGATAACAGGCTCATCTCTGCATTGTCAGGACCCTTGCCCCCCTTTTTTTAATTAAAAAAAAAAAGAAAAAAGGCTCCAAGAAGAAAAGAGAATTTATTTTCTTCTCCACTCTCTCCATTCCTTGAAGAAAGAAAAAGTCCAGGAGAAATTATAAATCTCTCATCCACATGGTTGTTCCCTCTTCCTCCCAAATCCCTTAGCTTTCCTTAACGTCTATAGTGGACACCCCATTGGTTTGGCTTGCTGGGTTGTGGGTGGACACAAAAGGAGGGGATCTTTGTTTAACCAGCAGTCTCACTCACTGATCTCCATCCCAGACCTTCCCTGATGGTGTCTCAGCATTTATTTTCCTGTCTCTTCCACCAAAAGCCAGTTGTGGATTTATCTCATAAAAGTCACCCATCTTCTCTACCATTCCCATCCTCTCTCCTCACACCTTCACCCCTGATTCCAATTTTTCTCCTTGTAGGCATTTCATCTGTGTGTGTTTTCTGGATTTTCTCTCCCGCTTCTTTTTTTTTTTTTTTTTTTTTTTTTTTTTTTGAGACGGAGTTTCGCTGTTGTTACCCAGGCTGGAGTGCAATGGCACGATCTCGGCTCACCGCAACCTCCGCCTCCTGGGTTCAGGCAATTCTCCTGCCTCAGCCTCCTCAGTAGCTAGGATTACAGGCACGCGCCACCATGCCCAGCTAATTTTTTGTAGTTTTAGTAGAGACGGGGTTTCACCATGTTGAACAGGATGGTCTCGATCTCTTGACCTCGTGATCCACCCGCCTCGGCCTCCCAAAGTGCTGGGATTACAAGCGTGAGCCACCGCGCCCGGCTCTCCCGCTTCTTATGGCCATTTCACCTTATTACTGATTGGGCAGAGAGGGAAAAGGAGAATGGACATATGATGATAGTCTCCTTCTCTCTAATGACCTTTTTTTAATAATAGAGCATGACATGGTTATAAAGGGCATCATAGTTATTAGACTATGCATTGGGAGAAAATCCTGACTGGTGTTCCTGGTTCTGTCTGCGACCTTACAGAAGAGGAGCAGCCAGAGGAGCTGGAGCGCAGGACTGGCAATCTATGGAGGGTCAAGAAAGGGGAGGCTGAACCTCTGTTGCTCCAAAAATGGCTCCTTTCTGGGTTTAGATGAGAGCCAGCCTCAGTCCATGGTGGGTTTCTTTGCATGGTGACAAAATGAGTAGAAAAATCTGTCAATTAATAAGCAAGTATTTTAAAGTACCTATTATGTACTCTGTGGAGGATATAAAGAAGTATAAGACATAGTTTTCACCTGAGACACGAAAACAAGAAAATTAAAATTAAATAATTCAACAAGAGTTGTCACAAGGTAATGGTATACAGAATAAAACAACACCCTAATTCATTAAGCCCAAATCCGTGAGCATCTACTATGTCTCCTATATATGTTAGGGCACCAGCCCTGCTCCAAAACCATTCTGTGCCCATGTCAGTCCCAAGAGAAACCTCCCATTACCCATGGAGGCTTGGCTCTCTTACCAGGGGAGGATGGCGTCATCACTATCAGGACAGGCACCCCAGTTTGCTGCCAGCCTTCTAAACATAACTCCACCTAGAATCAAACAGCAGGGCCACATGTCACTCACTATCTGCTCCTCTGGGCACCCCCATTTGCTGAAAGCTGGAAACCTATCATGGTCAGTAATCCCAACCCTGACACTGATGTCACCAAACTATCTGGCTCTGGCTGGGCTGGGAAGACCCTTATTACTGAATCTCCCACCAGAGACCCGCTCTGCTAAGGGCAAGATTGAAGCCTGACTCTCAGAGAGGAGGCATGCCAGGTGCCAGAGGGACTCCAGACTTAGGTCCCTGGAGAAAGGAGGCAGAGGGATACCTGGGTTCTGGAGAGCCCTCGAGAAAAAGAGGAAGATGCCTGGATTTTAGTTGTCTGAGCAGATGGTGACTCAGCCTGTGGCATCTGCCGGACAGGAGTGTCTCTCTGCCCTAGGAGGGATGCAGAGACCCCTAAACTCAGCCTGGACCCCAATTAAAAAACAAAACGAAATAAAAACACCTCTGGCCCTGGAGTCCTAAAGATGAAACCGGACAGACCTCTCCCCTATCAAGACACCAAAATTCAGCATTGAGGCCAAAGGCTGTGTGTAGAGGGGGATGGGGAGGGGGAATCGGGAGGTTCTTCGCCTGGCAAACGAGGACTGTGGGCCTTGGGGCGCGGCAGGCGTTTCCTTCCCACTTCTGGCATCTCTATTCCCCGCTAATTATCGCTTTGAAATCTAGGCGGAAATCCTTTAATAAGCTCCGGGGCTGGGCCCTCATTAGGGATAATTAATCAGTAGGACGAGAGGGAATGCGCTCCCTCAGCCCCCGGGGAAGACACCTCGGGCGGTGGCGGGGGCGGGGCGAGTGCCCGGAGGTCAGGGAGGCGGCCGGGGCGCCGGAAGCTGCTGTCCCGGCGGAGAGGGGAAGGGGCAGCAGGGGCTCCATTCCCCAAGTCTGCGACCCTCCCTCGGACCGCGAGGTTCCGCTTTGCGGGCGGCTTCCGATCTCTCTCGCTGACAACGCAGATTAGTGGCTCGAGGCCGCCGTCCCCGCAGCGCCCCAGCCCGGCTGCGCCGAATCCCCTCCTCCCGGCCCACAGCCCCCGGGCGGGGGGGACCCGGACTGACCGGGCTGGGCTTCGCTCCCAGCCCCCCACCCCCGTGCCATTGGCCATAAAACTGACACGCGTTTGTGCTGTGCTTTCACTTACATCGCACCTGTGAGCCTCCCATCACCCTGCGAGTTCTTATAAGGCCTGTTTACAGATGAGGAAACCGAGGCTCAGAGAAGCGCCCTGTTGAAACCCACGCGGCTCCTATGGAACAGAAGGCTTGCTTTATTTTCTCCAAGCCTCAAATTCACTTTGTTCCTCAGTGGAGCCAGGTTCCCTGTTACTGAGGCAGCCCCACCTGGATGGGTGGGATGTTATAGGGACCACCTAAGGAACAGGGTGTCATTGAGATTTGTGCGAGGGTGTCCAGCCCCTTCTTCCAGAGTCCAGACCTCCCTTTCCAGCCCCTCGAACGTCCAGAGTCTTCTTCTGTCCTCACTGCCAGTATCCCGGGTCAGAGTCCTTCCTGCCAGCCTCTGTCCCCAGAGACACATTAACTGGCCTCACAGTCACAGGCTCTGCATCTTCCCATCATGACTCAAGAAAAAGGAACATCTGTACCTATTGTTTCACTTGTTTAAAACATGATTTATCTAGAATTTGGCTCATAAGTTTTAAAATCAACTGTATGAAAATTTGAAAGTGTATTTACTGTTAACTCCTGCTTATGTTTTAGGAAAGCTCTTATGGAAAGAAAAAATGCTTCCCAGGTAGCTGACACAGATAGGTTATTTGGGGAATTGATAACTAAAAATTAAAGTCCTTTTTTTTTTTTTTTTTTTT